TGTCCTTGCTCTGCACATAAGAGACAGAGAGAAAAGTCATCCGAAATTAGTCCGTTTTTGTGGCCAGTTTCCTGCGGGTGCATTTAAGTTCAGAGTCCAGAATTTATGAGTTACAAATGGTTTTAGCATATGCAAAACTGAATACCATTTCATTTGGAACAAACTTACCAAAATGTTATACACACCAGGTATTTGTTTACAGGTATGTATATGTGAAGAAATATATTCAATATATTCACACTTGTGAGCTTGATGGTAGTTTGTCTTCAATAAACATTCATCCTAAAAAACTTCAATGTTGTAAAGATAAAATTTGGGGGTGGAGGGGAATGTCAGACTTGTTAATTTTATTTTCTTATTTCTGTTTTTTCTCAATTTTTGGTAGTCGTGTGTTTTAATTTTTGTTATCAGAATAAAAGGAAGACATTTTAATTTCATATATTAGATGATGTGGGATTACTGGAAATCACTACTATTGTAGTCTTTTACCTTTCCCCTAATTTATTACATCTTCATAGCTTCTATTTAATATTTCTGATAAAAAGACTCGATTATTATTGATAGATTAGGAATAATAAAAATAATTTTTAAATTAAAAAAATTCATATAGTAATAATAGAATCTGCAATTAGAAAATTGCTTATGAATGGACTAATCACGGAATTGCATACTTTTAAGTATCGCATGCACCCAAAATAGATCTCAGAACACCTAGTACCGATGGCATTTAATTGTGCTGAGTTAGCATTTTAATCAGAATTAGAGGGATGCTAAAGCTTATAAACCTAATAAGATTCACAGAATAAAAACAACTGTGACACATGACATGCTTAGGTTAGTTTTCCATGAAGATAAAAAAAAAAAAAAAACAGAAATACTTTGTTAGAATTGTGCTTATGAGTGAAGTCATGGGTAGGCTGATTCTTAGTGACCATTGCAGATTGAAGAAAATCTTTCTCAAAAATGTTGGCTTGATCCAGACTGTATCATCATCCTGAGAAGTAGTTGCTGCCCCAAACTTGGATGATTTCACAAACCCCCTGTACAGATGGATGGCAGTCAGTGAAGCTGGGGGGGAGGGGGGGGGACTGCATGGGAAGCCCTCCGGCCTGTCAAGCCAATGAAGAGATACAGTGAGGTAGACAAGGAAGCTCACAGGCTGGCACTGGGTTTCCTTCCTGCTCAGCCACATACCAGCTTTGAGGCCTTGACCAAGTCACTCCGTCTCTGAGTCTCTGAGCCTCAATGTCCCAAACCACCTAGTAAGACAACGTATACCCCACAGAGATCTCATGCAACAAATAAGTATAAATCCATCCAACACCGAGCAGTGCCCAGCACACAGTAGCTTCTCCAAATACTTCAGTTCCTTCCCTTTTGAGACGGGCCTGGAGCCAACACCTCCTCGTCATCTGGCAGCGGCACAGCCTGGTGTCCAGCCTGAGAAGATCCTGTGACTTCCAGTGCTGTTTACTCTGTTCCTCATGTTCTGTATTTAAGAAAGAGGAGTGAGCCCGCATTGGGTTTCCTTAATTATGTCAGTGTCACTTGCTATATACTCTCCATGTTTCACTCATTTATGCCCAGTCTTATAATAGAAGTTAACAAAAGATTATTCTCAGGTGTTACTATTGTTTGTTAGAAAAGCTATAATTGTATATATTTCACTGCTCAGGAAACAAGGTGATAAAGAGAAATATCGAAGAATATTCTACAGCAAATCACCAGGGAAAAATAGTCAAAAAAAATCTTAAGAACCTTACTCAGGAAGTGGGAAAAGGTGGTTTTGAAGTTTTATTTACAAAAAAAAGGAGAGTGAAATAACTGCTGGAGGGTGTCACGGCATAGTAATCAACTTGTAAAGTGCCACTATTCTTTTCTGCTGTTGCTGAGAATGATGGGATGGGAAAGCACACAGGCTTAATGTAATCCAAAACCACTTACAAGCCTGAGTGTGTATATTCAGTGAAGAGTTCATTTTTGCTGTCTCCATGTTATTTCAAATAATAGATGAATATGTATCCTTCGGTATAGTTATATTTAGAAATTGAGCTTGAAGTCTGGATAATTATGCGCATATAGTTCTTACAATGTTTTGAGCCATTGGCTTCAACAAAGGGAAAAAAACCTCTACAGTTGTATTACTGTCAGCCCCACAGACTACCAATAAGCCAAGTTGTACAGTTTTATGAATTGCCAACTCAATTATCAGTCGGGATCTGAATTTTAGAAATGTTGTCCCAGGAGATCCATGGACAAGTCAGAAATAACACAGTTTGATTTTCAGGTACCAGGTGGAGGTGGCCGTGTGATCTGGGGGAAATCTCGCTTTGATAAATGAGTGTGTTCGCTAGGTTTGGCAGCGGTCTCAGACACTGTATCTGGAACCGTGGCGATGTCATGGTGGCAGACCTTCCCGTTCTGTCCTCGGACTGCACCACACGTGTAAACAGTGAGGCTCTCGGGGGAATGACTCAAAGCCAACAGGCTGTAAAGGGGAACTTTCCTAGCAGGCTCTAACATGGGTGTCATGACTCTTTTCAGGTAGTAGGTGTAACCTTGAAGAAAAAGTGGCACTGTCTTCAAAAAAGTGACCTGACCCTGGCTTTGGTGGGTTTTTCTGCAAGAAATCAAAAGCACCGCATGTGTTAATGATACATCCTTTCTAGCTGACCACTGCTTTGTTCTAGAGTTCAGCATGAAAGGACTAATTTTTGTTTTGGTTTGGTTTTTTTGTTTGTTTGTTTTAGTGAAATGGCATGTCCGTTGCTAATTCTAGCTACTCTAGTTGCACATGTGAAAAATATCTATATGTAGTTTACGGATTGGTAGCATTTCAAATAAGTAGTGAATTGAAATATTGACCTGAAATTTTTTGAGATGCTCATCAATTGACCTTTTTTTTTTTTTCCTTAGCTCAGGATAAGAGTCTGAATTATTATTATTATTTTTAAATTATACCTTGTAACATTAGATTTGTTCTTTTAAGTATGTTAGGAATTTAAATATAAGCATGCCACTTCGTTCATTGCTATCTTATTAGAAGTTCTTGGAGCATGGAAAGAATTCTTCACAAATGATTTTGCTCTTTTGAAAAAAAATAAGCTCAAAAATATTTGTTAAACTATATTTAACCTGTAATGAGAATAGCTTATAAAGGTATGCTAAGCTTATAGTATGTAACGTTTCATCCCAATAACTTTTATATTTTGAAAAAATGTAAAACAATTTAATAGTTCCATAATAATCTTTTCCCAGAATTCAGAATTGTATGCATCTCTATTTTAGGAAGTTCACATTTTAGGAAGTTCATCATTAAAGAATAAACCTGGGATCATTATGCTCCCCAATTTTTAATGTTTTCCTTTATTCTTCTAGTAGTCAGTGATTTTAAGGATTGTGGCCATAGAGACATTCCAGAACATATTTGATAGTAACTCCTGATAAATAAAATCTCTTGTAGTTTATATCCCATCATGGAAATAAACATTATCATTCAATAATGCTAGTTCTTAAATAAAAATTAAAAACAAAGAAATAAACTTTGAGAAATAAAGAGATTCACACATTCTAAAATCTAGTAACTATAAAGTTTTTCTTTGTTTTCATAAATAAAAGCTGCCACTTGTTATTTAGAAAGGAATGCCTGAGAAAATGGATGATTAGCACATAACAAACTGAGGGCACAGGAGTTATAGTAGAATGCAATTAGAGTCACTCCTTATTCATCTCAGAAGACTTGCTTCCTGGAATAGACCTACCTTCTAAACTCTTAAAGTACTGTGCAAGACCATGATAATGTGATTCTACTCTTTTGCATTACATAGAAAGGATCAAGATTTATTAACCTCTAGAATTCATATTAACCCTAACTCCCATTTATGTTGGATTGCTCTTAATCCCCTTTCAGACAACAGACCACATATGTCCATTTTTGTTTCTGGGCCTATGATGTCTCTATATGCTACATTTGTATTTTAAATAGATTTACAGCACAGATATTCATGTGTGCTCTTATTATAAAATTATTTTCTCCAGAGAGGCTTTGCCCAGAGACATAAGAAAATTAAAGTTTTCTGTTTTTAAAGTGTTTAGAGATTATTTATTTTTACATAGTATGAGATGCTTCTAATTGGATCAAGAAGGTAGTATTTTATTTCATTTTTTCCATGATGCTGTATCTACTCTCAAAAATTAAAAATCTAGTAAACCAAAAAGACAGAAAGCCAGCATACCCCTTTATAGTTTATAACTGTTTGTATGAGACAAAAAATGTAGGGAATATATATACCTACATATTTATATCTATATCTATCAATGCCTCAATTAGTAATCATTTTTATTTATGTCTGGATTTACAGATTCTCCAATAAAAAGAGATTTTAAAATTCTATTAAAATTATTTGGTCTCAAAAACATAGAGAGTTACAAGTTTTTTTCATACTAGCTCCACAAAGTAAGCTAGGTGAATTCCCGTGACATTAGACCACTGAAGAATTTTTGAGATGTTTTTATGACACTTTTATTCTTTTTATGCCCAATCCACTCAAAAATGACAGACTCCAGAGACCACCCACCAAGCCCTCCATGGGAATCAGACCCTGATCCCAATCTCTGTCCCAGACTCCTGTCATTCAAACGTTTTAGAAATTATATAGGAATAATTTATAAATGAACATAACAGGCAATTCATACTGTATTTAAATAGATGCTATAAATTATGTTCATGTCATGTAAATTGCCTAAAATATACCATACATATAAAGTACTATGTTAAAATTAAATGTCAGTTGTAAAGGTGAAAAAGTAGCTCAAGTTCACAAACAATCTTTTTTCAGATATTGTGTGTTTTCTCTTCAGCCAAAAGCCTCAAGATTCACTTGCAGCAGCCTACTTCTTCATTTATGTTGGATTGGTCTTTAAACATTAGACGATCTTGTAATAATTAATAACTTAAAGATTTCTCCTGACACAAGTCATTGTTGATTTCACTGTTATAGGGAAAAGGCTCTAGGGCGGCAGATAAGGCTGTTGCCATGGTGATGAAGGAGATACCGAGGGAGGAGTCTGCTGAAGAAAAGCCCCTCCTTACTATGACATCACAGGTGGGCAGACCCATAGGGCTCCTGTAGGAAGCTGACATATGTTAATATATCAGACCTTGTGATTTTTAACTAGCAAAAAAAAAAACAAAACAACCAAAAACATTAACTTGAACTAATTTCTAAAGCACAGTTTCAATGAAACAATTATACATTATAAAGTGAAAACGAAAATTGCTAAGAAAAATTTCATCGTTTAGTTATTTATTTTTGAATATTAATTTTCATTACTTAACTTCAGCTTAAAAATGTATGTGCAAGTAAAATATGTTGCTTCTTTATAAAGGAGTCTTGTTAATAACTTTGGGAAAGAAATAACAATTAAGCTAATGATACATTTGAAAAACAACAACCAAAAAAATCAAATTCCTTTGAATAAATAACAAGTTATATGGTATACATATGTCAGTTTACCAGTAGAATATCTAAATTTTCTTAAATGTTAAATATATTTATGTTGTGACTATGCATACTACATATATGTCTATACATATTTATGTGGGTGACTAATTTACAGGATTGAGCCAGAAGTCCCTGAGTCCCCCCGCAGAAAATGGCATCTGTGACCCCTCTTCTACTTAGTGACCTTGGCAACAAAAATATCTCTATTATAAGCACATGAGAGCCATTTTCAGCATTTATTATAGCAAATATAGAAAAAAGTTTGCATTTATATGCGAAGACATGCTGAGACTGTGAATCCTGTATGTCCTCAGGGACTTTTGAAACACCCTGTAAAATCCACATAAATATGTATAATATACCCATCACCACTCTGTGGAACTATCAGTTTTAAATTCTTAAATGAAAAATATTTTTACTTGCATTTATCTTATAATTTAGATTAGGTTGTTATCTTAAATATTTCCTTTTTTTTCCATAATGCAGTAGTAAATGCAGTTATTCAGTTCCAATTATATGAACATGTCTACAATTAGAAAAATGTCCATATGCAGTCCTCATGAAAGGCATTTATCTCAAAAGCTAAATTATGGCAACTTATTTTCAGAATAGCATCAGAGCACATCCCCAGCTGCTGCCAGCATGTGTGGTTTTCTTTATTCTAAACGCTATGTTGTAAGGAACGAAAATTATAACAACATATAACATCAACATTGAGTATTTAAAAAAAGTTATTAATGATTCCCAGGACTTTGGCATAAGTTTTATGTTGTGAGTTTTTTATCCATGAAAAAAGAGATGCTTCTTCCCAATGACACAGTCGTCGTGGGAAAGAAATTTGCTTGATATTTACCAAGGTCTCCATTCTTTACACAATTTGCATAGTAAAACATACACAGTTTTACATTGATCTCTTGCCCTTTGAAGAATCCATGTTCAAAATATTCAGCCCATAGTTTCTCAGGTCGATGCTGAGGGAAGTGAGAACCACTTTAAGTTCTCGGCTAAGGACAGAACCACATACATCGGTAGATAAGACCTATCCAGAGTTGGAATTGGCATAGTTGTGCTACAACGTATCATCTCAGGACATCACGATTTAGGACAGGGTCTAGTTCGCAAAATTCCTTTTCCCCCAACCCTCGTATTGGTATGTGCTTCCCAGTAATCCTTTTTAAATGTCCAAAATTACCATTGTCACCTAAGCTTGAATTTAAAATTTAATGCAAAACAATATTTTTTATTTTTTAATTTAGAAAAAAAATTGTGATTACCATTTTCTCATATTCAGAACATTTGTGTGTACCAAGTTCCTTATTTAATCCCTGTCGAATGTTGCATTAACTGTTTTTGAGATATTGGTTACAATTTTACTGCATGAAGATTACACAATGCTTTCTTTGATGCATCTTATTCTTGTTGCATACTGGCAAGTTTATGAATCAGCAAACAGAGTTCTGATTCATAACATGTAATGCACCTGTTGTGTTGATCATTTTATGAAATGAATTCAGTGACGGCTGTGATACAATTATTTCTCAGTCAAATGCAGTTTTCTTAGTTGATATACTTTTTCCACTGTACACAAGTGGCTTCTTCCCTGCTATGCACAAGCCCAAAAGCAGCAGAATGATCTGAAAAAGTGAGTACTTCTCATGGCAACCACAGCATCAGTCCGTGTACCATACCACATTCTTACACATGTGAGCGCATTAGTCTTGAAACGTGTTTGTCCCGGTGTCTTCTGTAAAGCCTTTTATGACATAGCGCTACATACTGCTGAATACATCGACTCATCTTCATCACTGGTATGTCGATGCCAGCTGCTCATTCATAGATTTCAGACATGGCTGAAGCCGATCGCTGCTCTCTCAGTGGCGTCCTTGGCACAATCACAATGGATAAAGTACAGACACGTCCTTGGAACACTGAGTTCCTAACCTGTTTAGTAACTGTTTATTCAACAGATTGTAACTGCAGAATAATTTACACTGAAGGATTTTCTTGTATTGTGTGATTATTATGATCTCTTTGAGAGGGATTTAGCCAAACATACTCCAGGGAAGTCATTCATAGTACATTGAACAAACCAAACAAAACAGAAGAGTTGGCCAGGTGACCTGAACTCAGAGTTTGCTGGACCCCTTTTCATTTAATGTAATTATTAATTCTGTATCAACAAACAATATGTCAAGCACTTCAAAGAAGCTCAAGTTCATGCTGTCCTAGACTAACACTTAAAGTCAAACAGTATGTAAACAAGTGTGCATTGATGAAAGGATTGAAGGAAAGAAAAAAATACTGTAGGTGAATTGTCAAGTCTTTAAAGAGAAAGTTTCGCTAGACCTGTGCTGTCCAATACAGTAGGCAGTAGCCACATGTGTCTGTTGAGCCCTTTGTAACTACCCCAAATTGCAATGTGCTATAAGTATAAAATACACACCAGATTTTGTGCAAAAAATGATATAAACTGACACATTAATAATTTTATTTTGATTACAGTTGAAATGAGAAGATTTTGGATATACGGGGTTAGGTAAAATGTATTGTCAAAATTATTTTCACCATTTTCTTTTCACTTTTTAAAAAAGCTACTAGAAAGCTTAAAATTACTACACTGTCATTATCTTTCTATTGAGCACTACTCTAGACTGTAATAGTATAAATAAATCCACTTCGAGGGTAGAAGGAAAAACTATATGTCAAAGATTGATTATATTGTAGAAAAATTATATTCTTTATGAAAATGAAATGACTTTAGCAAATATTTTTCTCTCATAAGGAACCCTAGAAATTTTCATTTTAGCCATATTTCCTGGTACTTTTTTAGCAAGGTATATATCCCCTTCATTTTTTGCTATAGAGCACATTGTCTTAAAACTATGTGTTCCAGACCTCTTATTGTTAAGATTTTTTTCATGTTTTTGCAAACTTTGTTTTTCTATATATCCCACCCCTTATACCTTAATATTAATTTAATTTTTTGTGTCTGATAAAGATAAAAAGAGTAATGTCCTTGGTTGGAAAAATATTCTCAAGGCTACTAAGTATAGCCTTATTCGGGGTAGGTTTCTATTACTAACTTGAAACAATTGTTTTAATTATGTTCTCCTGCCTGCCCTAGTGTTAGTACTACCCCAGTTGTAAAGAGTAATACCTGTTCATTTTCCCATGAATAACTTCACAATTATAAATATAACTATCCTGTCAGGAAAATATTTGAGATTTAGATCAAGTCAGAGTTGAAAGTTATCACATGGTTATTCTCTATAAAAAGATCTACTGGGACTCATATACTGTATAAAAACTGGGCCGTGGGCAGAACCATTAGTACTATTAGCTCATAAGAAATAAATTCTGCCCAGTGTCAGAGGTACCAAGACAAAGCCACCAAGATCTGAGTATTTAAGGGGCTCATGATAATGATTTAGTTGTCTTGTCTTTTCAATGGATTTATCAGTTAACTTAGTTTTGATAGGGTCACTATTTTGATGGGCATTGCACAAATTTCTCAATTTGGATACAACTAATAAAGCCATAAACAAATAGTTCAATTACAAAATTATGAGTGAAACCTACTCACCAAATGGCACATGCTTTGAATCAACAGTGTCAGGAATAATAAAGGCAATTTCAAAATGCATAAAGATATACCTTTTAAAAGCATATTTGTGTTTTCATTTTTATATAAATAAAACATTATGCCAAAACCGGTTTGGCTCAGTGGATAGAGCGTCGGCCTGCGGACTGAGGGGTCCCAGGTTCGATTCCGGTCAAGGGCATGTACCTGGGTTGCGCACATCCCCAGTGGGAGATGTGCAGGAGGCAGCTGATCGATGTTTCTCTCTCATCGATGTTTCTGACTATCTCTCTCCCTTCCTCTCTGTAAAAAATCAATAAAATATATTTAATTTTTATATAAATAAAACATTATTAAATTTTTTTTATTATTTAGATGAGATAAAAGACATGGTGTACTTTTGCAATTCTTAAAATCAACATTACAAATATGAGGTATTTGTCAACTGTTTTTAACTTATTAACTTCAATGTTTTAACTTTTAAAATTATTTTTTAAGTACTAAAATGCTTAAAAATAAAAACAGAATATTTTACTTTAAAACAATTTTGAGATCATCAATCTGAATTGTAAAGTGATGAAATAATGAGTTATTATTCTTGACAGACCCTGTTTTATCATTGAAATGTATTTTGATTTGAAGTTAATTCATACTGATATAAGTTATCACAAACTTTTAGCTCTATATTTTTTAATGAAACACCTAAGCTATATGTTGGTTAAAGACAAATAAGCTTAGATTTAAGTCACAAAATAAGCTATATAAACATATACTGGAGCTTAAGTAACAGACAGTATTAAAAGCAGAAAAATCTCCTTTCGTCTTGGCTAAATATTCCCCTGTAGCTTAGATCATATAATAATTTATTTTTTAACATTGAAATGAGAGAAATTCAAGTTGAACTAAGACAAATGCATTTTTAGACAAAGTTTTAAAACAGATCATAATTCATTAAAGCTGGATGATATTATCTGCATTTTGTTCAACACAAAACATAGTGTTGATGTAAATTAACAACCAG